GGGGAGAGATGGGGAGAGACAGGGAGATGGGGAGAGATGGGGAGAGATGAGGAGAGATGGGAAGAGATGAGGAGAGATGAGGAAATGAGAGGAGATGGGGGAGACAGCGAGAAGGGGAGAGATGGGGAGATGGGAAGATGGAGATGGGGAGAGATGGAGAGATGGGGAGTGGGGAAGGGGCACAGGGCAAGGTGCTCACGCAGGTCTGTAGCAGGGAGTAGTCTGAGGGATGGTGTGGAGGGCAGGCAAGGGCACTGGGGACATGTGGGCAAAGGTGGTGAGCCCCTGCTGCACCCTGAGCCACTGGGGGCTGGGCGCTGCCTCGGCCTGCTGACCCCCACAGAGCCCTGGTGCCCTGCAGCCGGCACAAGGAGATAAGAGCCCGCTGGGCCTCCTGCTTCCCGGCTGGGTGATAGTGCGTCCTGCGTGTCCTGATAGGTTGTGGCCACTGCAGCGGTTGGCGCAGCCGCATATCGGGCCATCACTGCCCGCTGCTCCCGAGTTTGTATCTGTGGGCACTGATAGGGGACCTCTGGCCCTGGGGGCAGCAGCACAGGAAGCCTGGGGGTGCCCAACCACAGCCAAGATCTGGGCCCAGCCTCACGAGCCAGGCCCCTGTTCCCCGGGGCCTCCACTATCCATCTGGAAAACAGGAGCGATGATCCTACACCCCATGGATGAACGGACACCACCCTGGGTGATGATGGAGCTCACATTTAGGAACTGGCAGCTGGGCCCTGGAGCCAGACTCAAAATTAGACCTGGGTCTGCTGCTCCCTAGCCCAAGGCCTTGAACTTGGCTTCCAGGAATGTCAGGGCCACCTCCTCTGCAGAGTGGGGTCCACAGTGCTGAACAGTGCCATGTGCCCTTGGGGGGAAACTGAGGCAGTCATCCCTCCCCATGTGAGACCAACACAAGCTGTGCTGACATGGCCGTGAGGATGCAGGCCCTGGCTGAGCCCCAGGCAAGTAGGGCCTATTCTTAGGTAGGTGCTCCCTGGTGAGGAGAAGACGCTGGGTGTGTTTCTGCCAGGGGCCTCCCCTGCTGTCTCTGGTTCCCAAGACACGAAAGCTGCAGTGTCTGCTGTGCTGTACCCACTCCCTTTCTGAGGGTAGCAGGGGGAGCCCCACGGGCTGGCAGCGGCGAGGTCCCCAGCTCTGTCCTGCCCAGGACACTCCTCCAGCCCATCCAGCTGGCCTTGGCTTCCCAGAGGTGGTGGTCACTACCTGGCTGTGCCCACAGGCCAGCCCCTCCCTCTCTGGATTCAGGCCCAGCTGTGGGATGAGCTACTAAGTGAGCAGGGACTTCCCAGCACATGGGCGGTCGCGTCCACTTGGCATACTCACAGACAGCATGAATTGGCCACCACATTCTCTCGACACCGGTACCCTGACAAACAGGATCACCTGACTACCCTGACACCCTTCCCATCTTGGCCTCTGGGGGCCCCCAAGGAGAAACAGGGTTTCCCTATGCCTCAGTGAAGCATGCCCTGACGCCCAGCAGGGCAAGACCCTTGCCTGGTCATTTGCTTCTCTGCAGACATGAACTTGTGAGCTCCTGAGGCTGCCTGCTCCCAGCATACACAGCAGGAGCTCCAGCAGCTTGCTGCATCGCATGTGTGCCCAGTGCTGAGTACTCAGCCTCCATTCCCTCCCTCCCTTCAACGGGGACTGTGCCAGGTGCCACCACCTTGCCTCTGCTGGCATCCCTCCCTCCCCGCCAGGGCCTGGTTAGGCTGCCCTGGAAAACCATCCCAAGAGCCCTTTCTCGTGCCTTGGGCTATGTTATTTATTCCTTAGGAACTGCCAACATGACCTAACTGCTCAGTCTTCCCCACATTCACAAGTGGATGGAATCTGATGCAGTCCCCACGAGTCAGCCACAGAAGATGCCTCTGTGGTCAGAGCTCCCTCTGCGATGTGTGGAGTAGGGCACCACATCACCCCCTCTGACATCCCTGTGGCCTGGCTGGCGCCACCCCAGTGTGGGGTGGGGTCCTCTCCTGCCCCACCCACGGCTCCAGACACAGCCTGAGCTCTCTCCTGTCAGCCTCTGGATGGCTGCCCTGGCCTTCTGGGACATCTCTTCTGATAGCACTTGTTCTCTGACTCCTGGAGTCCATACTGCTCTCCCCACACCCTTCCATATGGGATTTGTGGGGCATCACACAAAATGCCTGCCTGCAGCTATGCCACCAGTCACTTGTTGGGGCTGGCTAGGACCCGGGCTGCTCTGGGCAGGTGATGCTGCTAGACCCTTCCCTGCCCCCTTCCAGGTTACCTGGGCCGCTCCAGGGCCTGCGTGGCTCTCCCTCAGCTTCCTCCTGAGGCTTGGGCTCTGGGTCCGGCCCTGCCTTCTCCTCAGGGTCTCCTGGGGATGTGGGGGGTGGTGGCGGTGAATTAGCATCTGCGGGGAGGAAGACACTGTCACGTTGTTGCTGAGACCTGCACTGGGAGGGCTATTGAGAGAGCTACTGAGGCCCGGGGTGGCTGAGCACAGGCCCCAAAATGTCACCTCCCCTCCTGGCTTGCTCTAATTGGAGGGGAGGGGGAGAAATCCCAGTTTTCCTCTTGGCCTCTTATAACCTCACATCCCTTTCATTAGTTGCCCCGATAATAATTGTTATCCCAGCTGCTGTTAATAATCAGTGTGAGGAGGGCCCAGAGGCACGCCCAGGCCAGTGGCACATGTGTGGCCTCAGGTTCCCTGTCCCCTCTGCTGGCAGCTGGGGGCCCCTCCACCAGGCCCCGCACCCAATTCCAGCCCAAAGGGCATATTTGCCTTCCCAGCGGGCCTGATAACCACCTCGGCTCCCAATCGATGAGCTCCCATAAAGCCCCCCCTTGGTGACGTCACACACCCAGAAGATTATTAATACCCGCGATAAGGGCCGTGATTAACATCAAATAAATCAATCACACAGTATAAAAGTCCCATTATTTTTGGCTATAAATCAAAGTGGCTGGCATTTGAGCTCCAGCCACCGCGAGAGCGCCTCGCTGGACCCGCCTGCGCGGCAGACACTCTCCCGCGCCGTCTTATCGGGCCCATCTCTGTGTTATCACCGCGGCCTGTGCCAGGTGCAACCCTGGCTGTTTTTTCCAGCTCCCTCTCGGCCCCACCCCGCCCCGCGCAGCCTCGGCCCCACATCAGATAGGGAGTCTGGCTCCCCGGAAAGCCGGCCCAGGCCAAAGTCCACTAGCAACGCCACCTGCCCTTTGGTGCGGCCCCTCTGCCAGGCTCCTGTGGTGGCCGGCCTGGTAGCACCTAATGTGATGACGACCGCAGGGCCACCTTGGAGCACCACACACCTCACACGTGCCCGCTCCTCGCAGCTACTGGGTGTGGGGGCTCATGCCCAGTCTACGGATGCAGAAACCCAGGCCCAGAGAAGGTTAAGAGATAGGCTAGGGGGAGCCTCTCTGTACCACTAAGCAACGTGTGGTGATGGGGATGGTGTCAAAGGCAATCGCGAGCAGCAGCACGTCCCAGCCCTTCACTCTGACCTGCCCTGCAGTGGGATGTGTCCCCAGGGAACTGAGGTCCCCCAGGCCTGGGACTCTAGGACCCTCCTATTGTGGAGGGGCCAGGCCAGCAGGCTAGGTGTGCAGGGCCTGGGGAAGGACCCACGGGGCTCCAGGCCTATGGTGGGGACCCTGACACTCAGACTGGGAAGTACTGGGGTGGGGAGCCCAGTAACAAGCCCCCTCTTCCAGGGACCAGGGTCTGTCTGGGATCCCTGCCAGTCTCTTGCCCACCCCTTATCCTGCCCTCAGGGCCTGTGCATTGCTGGTGCCACTGCCTCGTACCCGGCCCCAGGCTCACATGGGGTCCACGTGTCTGTGGGGTCTCTGCTCTTTGCTGGCCACCCTGCCTCACCATCTGCCCACCCTCCAGATGACCTGGCTGTGGCCATATCCCCCTGTCAGACTATGCGGAGTGGTCCAGACTCCATACGCAGAGGTTTGCTGTAGAGCGGGTGTGACATCACCAATGTGGCTGCTGGTGGGGGAAGCCGGCTCACATCTCCGTGAACTGGCTGGTGCACTTTCAGACCCTGGGAAACAGAGGTAAGGGTGGAACCTCCATCTCTGCGGGCCCCTCCTGGGGTGTCTAGGGCACTGATGGCCCTCCTTGGGTACCTGGCCTGAGCAAGCTTCCTAGAGTCAGAGGGTTCTTGGGAAATACCCTGCCCCTCAGAGAAACTGCCCCCAGGTGAGTATGAAGATGCCTGAGGTGGGCTAAAAAGCAGGTGAAGTGGGAGTTAGGCTGGCTTCAGACTTGAGTGGGTCCCTATTTGAGTGCCTGCAGGCTGTGTGACACTGGGGAAGTCACTCGACCTCTCTGGACCTCACTGCCTTGTCAGTCAAATGGGGTGCACGCCCTACCTGTGCACTGAGGCTATGCAAAGCACCTGGCAGGGCCCACAACTCAGCAGGCTCCAGAGCCCCCAAGGACAGAGGCCTCAGCGGTTCCATACAGGGAAACTGAGACTAGAGGCATGGCCCTCGTGTGGTCACTTAGTGGTACCTACGTGCTGGTACCTAACTCTGGGGCCTCTATCTGGGCTTCAGTCTCCTTACCTGCACCACAAGGGGTCGGACTCCCAGGACCTGTGTCCTAAGAAGGTGCATCCCTGCCCTCTTTCAAGCCCTCAGGCCTCCCACCCCGCGCCCTCCCCTGGCTGGAAGATAGCTGGGCATCTTCTGGCCCTGTCAGGCATGGTCAGCCACAGACACCGCCCAGTAGCACGCCCAGTGCCCAAGTGTGGCAGCTGAGGCCCTACAGGTTGGGAAATGGGGCGGGAGGGGTCTTCCTGACTCACCTGTTCTGGCAGGGCTCAGGGGCTCAGGTACCTCAGGTTCCTGCTCTGTGAGGCTGGCATCCGAGGCCTGCAAATCCTCTCCAGCCTCCATGTCTCCAAGGGAACCTGCAGACAGAAGCCCAGGGCAGCCCGTGAGCAGCTTTAGGATGAGATCTCCCACCCCCTCTACCCTCCTGCACCTTCCGTGCAGCCAGGGGTCAGCCACCACATGAGGCCAGAGCCCAAGAGGGGACGGCCTCCAAGCAATGTGTGAACCCCCTTGCTTCAACCCCAACCCCTGCAGCAATTCCAAAGCCTCAGGGTCACCTTGCCTGCCCTCTGACCTCTTGCCAGGGTGAGAGACCTGGCCACTCCTTGTGTCTCTTTCCCACCTGCTCCCCCCAGCACCAGGGGACTGGCCCCCACACATTCTAGGCACAGGAGCATTGTCGGGGCCTGTGAGTCAGATAGACACTGTGGCCCTCGTCCAGGCCTCCGGGCCCCAGCACCCCATCCACTGCCTGAAGGTAGGTACAGTCTGCTCCACACCCCCCAGCCTGAGGGGGTTCCCTTACTTGGTCCCCATGCTCTGGGAATCCCCTGAGGGGGGCACCAGCGCTCAGTACAGGCCTACACAAGGGAGGCACTCATAGCTCAGTCGAATGAACACATGACTAAAGGGCCACAGGCATCTGCAGCGAGCTGGGGGCCGCGGTGCCACGGGGCCTGGGCTCCCTCAGAGACTCGGGTACTAGGGTCTCAACAGGTGACAAGGCAGATGGAGACAAGTCCACTTGGCCCAAGGAGGTGGCATCTTCCACCCATAGTCAGGCAATGGGGTCAACTGTGTGGTCTGTGAAGATGGTGGCACCCAGTCATCCCGTTCTCCCTGTCTCTGCTTCCCAGGGCCCCCAGACCTGGGTCCTGGAGACGGGATCTGGGCATGGGGCCAACTCCTGCCCTGATGGCCACCCAAGTTCATCCTGTGTAACACCTGACCTGCCCCCCGCCCCCCACGGCCTGCCAGGGAAATGACCTCCCACAGTCCCTGTTTAGCCTGAGGCATGAGAGAGGGGCACCCCAGTCCACAGATTCCCACAGCAGCCAAGCCCCTCTCATTCCTGAAGAAAATCAGCAAGAGGAAAAGTCTGGAAAACCTGCTAGCATCCGTAAGTCCACATGTCAGTGATGCTGGACAGAGCAGAGCAGGCCTGCTTCAATGGGGTTGGGGCCAAAGGCATCAGAGGGGAGCTCTGAGCCAGGACAGAATGGTCACTTCACAAGGGTGAGCTCCCTGTTCCTGGAGGCAACCAAACAAGCAGATGGGGAGTGGCCTGGGTTTGCACCTCTGTGGCTTAGTGGTGCCTCCCTCTGGGGATTTGATGGTCCCCAGAAAACCACATAGAGGGCCCAGAATGCTCTTATCACGTCCTGGCCCACCCCCTCGTCTGTTTTCCAGGGAAAGGCAGGAGGCAGCGAGAGCTCGGCCTGCTGGTGCCTGGACATCTGCCCTCCCTGTCACAAATGTGTGGCTGGCCAGCATCCAACACTGGCCACAGTAGCTGGCTCATGTCAGGGGACAGAGGCCCCGAGGACTGTGGGTGAGTGCCTGAGTGCTGCTGGGACAAAGTTCCCAGGTGACTTCCGAAGCTCATGTGGGGCTCGGAGGGGGAAGTGAGCCTTGGGTTTGGATCCAGAACCCCTCTTTGATCCCTGTGGCTACTGTAACCAATAGCAGTTGTTCCTGGCGAGGCAGGTGGCAGATTCTTTTTCTGCCTTCTGCTGACACCTGAGGGCCTTATGCTGGCACCAAACTGCCAGACACTGTGGGGATGAATCAGCCAGTGAAGAGACAACCAGAACCATAGATGGGCCCCAAACCAAAAATAAACTGTGGAAACGCAGTGAGGGAAGGAGGCAGGTAAGGGATACGGGCGGCAGGTCTCCAAGGTGACAATGTTGCTGATATAAGACCAAGGGCTGAGAAAAGACGGAGCATCACGTGCAAAGGCCCAGAGGGGGATGCGTGGGAAGGACAGGAAGACTGGGGCAGGGTGTGGAGGGATGGAGGCTAAGAGCACAGAAGCCTGACAACACCAACCTCAGAGCCCACGGGGAAAGCTGATCCTCATCCTGGGGTCACTCGGGAGCCATGGAAGGTCCCAGGGTGGTAGGATCACTTTCCCAGCCTCCTCAGAACTCCTTGCAGCTGTGATTACAGTAGAGGGCTGGGCTCAGCCCTGGGCTAAGGCCTACCATCTCTCACTAGCGAGCCACACAGCAGGCTCCGAGAGCAACTTGTGCCCCTGGAATAGGGGGTGTGACCTCTGTGACCTCCTTCTACAGTTAGCCTCTGCTCCACACCTGAGCTGGCACTGGCTTTACCAAGCCGCCCTCAGCTGTGCCTGCCTCAGTGGCAGTGTGCAAGGCCACTAGCATTAGCATACTCGCCTGCCTCAGGGGCTGCCCAGGGCTGGGGTCCCTCCTGCTGGGCAGTTCAGGGCCCCAGGGCTGCAGCTGCTGCTCTGGCAAATGGGCCTGAGGCCACCTGTCTTTAGGTACTTTGGGGCCAGATCCCTGGGGGCTGGGCTGATGCTGGAATTGCACAGCAGACCCGCCCTTGCCCATACCTGCACCCCCTGGAAGGCAGTCCTGACTCCTGGTGCCCCTCCCAGGAGGGCCTCAGACACCCAGGGAGGCCCTGAGCTCTTGAAGTGTTCTACCATTTACCGGAGAACAAAGACACCCGCTCTGCACAAAGCCGTGACAATGAGCGTGGAGAAAGCGCTGCCAGGCTAATTTCAGTTCCAGCCACAATTAAAGCGTCCCTGACAATGCAGCACAATCACCAACCAGCACATTGCTCAGCCCACAAACAGGACATGGTGAGGTGCCTTCTGCCCAGGCCACCTTGGTGCCGGCCAGCAGGGCCCATCCTGCTGGGCCCTGTCTGTGATGCATTCAAGTCTATAGGTTGCCTGGGGGCCCTGCTGGCTGGGGGTGTCCTTGAGCCACAGTGTGTTCTGTTGCCTCCCTGGACCCCAACTGCACGCCAGGCTGGACCTATGGCCAGGCAAGTTGACTGATGGATGTTGTGTCTCTGATGTGTGACTTTGAATAAGTCACACTCTCTGTGCTTGGTTTCCTCATCCACACTTGGAACTCACAGAGGCTTCCACCTCACAGGACAAGCTCGTTGAGCACCTGCATCACTGGGGTTCAGCACAGGGCCTCCTGCATCACTGGGGCTCAACACAGGGTGACCTGCATCACTGGAGCTCAGCACAGGGTGACCTACATTACCAGGGTTCTGCACAGGGCCAGCTGCATCACCAGGGCTCAACACAGGGCCACCTGCATCACCGGAGCTCAGCACAGGGTGACCTGCATCACTGGGGCTCAGTACAGGGTGACCTGCATCACTGGGGCTCAGCACAGGGTGACCTGCATTACCGGGGTTCTTCACAGGGCCACCTGCATCACCGGAGCTCAGCACAGGGTGACCTGCATCACTGGGGTTCAGCACAGGGCCACCTGCATCACCGGAGCTCAGCACAGGGTGACCTGTATCACTGGGGTTCTGCACAGAGCCAGCTGCATCACCAGGGCTCAACACAGGGCCACCTGCATCACCGGAGCTCAGCACAGGGCCTCCTGCATCACTGGGGTTCTGCACAGGGCCAGCTGCATCACCAGGGCTCAACACAGGGCCACCAGCATCACCGGGGCTGAGCACAGGGACCCCTGGATCACTAGGGCTCAGCACAGGGCCCCCTGCATCACCAGGGCTGAGCACAGGGCCCCCTGCATCACCGGGGCTCAGCACAGGGTGACCTGCATCACCGGGGTTCTGCATAGGGCCACCAGCATCACTGGGGCTCAACACAGGGCCACCAGCATCACCAGGGCTGAGCACAGGGCCACCAGCATCACCAGGGCTGAGCACAGGGCCCCCTGCATCACCAGGGCTGAGCACAGGGCCACCTGCATCACAGGAGCTCTGCACAGGGCCACCTGCATCAGCAGGGCTGAGCACAGGGCCACCTGCATCACCGGGGCTGAGCACAGGGCCACCTGCATCACTGGGGCTCAGCACAGGGCCACCTGCATCACCAGAGCTCTGCACAGGGCCACCTGCATCACCAGGGCTCAGCACAAGACCACCTGCATCACTGGGGATCAACACAAGGCCACCTGCATCACTGGGGCTCAGC